GGGGGAGGTTTTCACAAGCAGACAGTTTAACAGAAACTAAGATAAGTTAGTTGACTTTGGGCTCCTAGAACAGAGTTGGGTAACTTTCCATGGGGCCTCCCATCAAGGAGATCAAATTCTAGTTAAACCTGAAACGGCCTCAGCAAGAATATGAGAGGGAGGAACCTCTGCACTGATCGCCCTGTCACATTCCCCACAGGTTTTATGGGCATGAGTCAAATCGTTGACTCATCCTGTTCTGGGGGAAGAGCATAGTTGGTCCTAAGGACACATAGCTTAACTGAATTTATTCTCTATTCGATGTAGTTATCCATGCAGCTGAGGATGCCGGGTCCTACTGTAAGCTGGATCAGGAAAAAAAATCAACTATCTAACTAATGCTGACAGTGATGTGGTCAGTCATGGGGACCAGGTAAACAGAGACGGATACCAACTGTCTGATCTGTGTCTCCTTTTCTGCCCTTTTTTGAGGTTTTCTCTGACCATGGGAAGGTCTTCCCTGATCACCCCTGATTGGTTGGTACAAAAACAATGGGTTTCTCCTAAGGCCATGCAAAGTCCTCATTTCATAAAATGGGGTCCAGCTCCAGTTCTGTAGGACTGTGTCTGTAAGGGAGTCAACTTGGCTCTCCAGCCTGGAAATGGACTTCTCCAAATGGCCTATGTCTCTGTCTGTCTGAGAACTGAGTTCCCTAATGTGTTGATTCCCAATAATCAAGGCTGAGGTGCCTATGGCAGTTGCACCAGCTGTTCCTGCCCCTACTAGGATTGGGACCAGAATTGGGACCTCTTTGACCGTCGTGAACATTGAGTCAAGGCCAGCATGAGCTCTCCCCTCTTCTCCATTATTGGCATATATCTGGGGGATAACATAGACCGGTATACACAGAATGGGGGTATAACTCTCCAGTGAGTCAGAGGAGGCACGTTTAGTCAAATCGTTAGTACAAGCAAACCAGGTAGATTCAGGGCCATGGAAGAATATTTAATTCTCTAGGCTAGGGTTGATTCTTTGGGCATTTGAGCAAACCTTATAAGGTGAGGAAGCAAGACTGTAATTTGAGGACACGATGCAGGTACCTTGTCCTTGGCAGGATGATTCACCCTCAGCAGGGCATGCATAAAATTGTAGTCCCTGGAGGACTTTTTCTAGCCAGTCTTCTCCACAGCCTGATTTGGTAACCCCTCTGCCTCCCCTAGAGCCTCGCCATTTCACCCCTGGGAAGGGACATAAGAGAGCAGAGTTCCACCTGAAAGTTTCCCATCCCCAGCTTTTCTGAGTTCCCATGTCCAGATTTGGGGTGGATGAGGATTCTGTATCCCAGGTTAGTGAACTCTGGTCAGTCTTATCTTTAACGTGTCCAAGTTTGATGGTTCATCTCTCATTGTCTTCAGCGGCCTTTTTTTTTTTTTTTTTTTTTTTTTTTTTTTTAATTGGGGATGATGACTCCAGAGGATGGCAACAACCATTTCAGAGCAGTTGGGGTGGTGAGAATAACGGGTAGGGTCCCTTCCAGACAGGTTCCAGGATACAGGCAGGGATCCTTTTCATCCAAATCAAATCTCATGACTGGTACTGGTGGGAGGGTTTGGAGGTGGGAGATGGCAGAATTCCTTTTACAGTCTGGTCAATGGTCTAGTGAGCTTCCTGCAAAGCCAGCAATGACTTGAGGAGGGAATAATTTGAAGTTTCTACTGGGGAATATCTCAAGGTTTGGGGAGGATTGTAGGTAGAGTTTTCCTGCCTGGCCCACGGTCAGGGCAAATCTCTCTCACCCGCCAGTCCCACAGCCACTCAGACCCAACCAAGTAAACACAGAGACTTATATTGGTTACAAACTGTATAGCCGTGGCAGGCTTCTTGCTAACTGTTCTTACAGCTTAAATTAATCCATTTCCATTAATCTATACCTTGCCACATGGCTCGTGGCTTACCGGCATCTTCACATGCGGCTTGTCATCATGGCGGCTGTCAGTGTCTCTCTGACTCAGCCTTCCACTTCCCATTTTTTTCTCCTCCTTGTCCCGCCTATACTTCCTGCCTGGCCACTGACCAATCAGTGATTTATTTATTGACCAATCAGCAACACATTTGACATACAGACCATCCCACAGCAGAGGATGGGAGGTATAAGCTCCTCCCAGTAAGAAGCACATTGGGTCCTGAGCAGGACAAAGAGGAAGAGCTTGGCCTAATTTTTGCTAGTTTCTGCAACCAATTTGGTCAGAATCTTCTTTTTTTTTTCATCTTTTTTTTTTAAAGATTTATTTATTTATTATGTATACAGAAGAAGGTGCCAGCTCTCATTACAGATGGTTGTGAGCCACCATGTGGTTGCTGGGAATTGAACTCAGGACCTCTGGAAGAGCAGCCAGTGCTCTTAACCTCTGAGTCATCTCTCCAGCCCGGTCAGAGTCTTCTTAAGAGTTCCATACCTGCTCTCTATCTGACCTAATCTCTGTTGCCTATAAACTCAATGTAATTTCTAATTAGTATTTAATACCTTTGTCAGATTTTAAGACACTCTGGCTATAAAGGCAAGGTCATTATTGGGCCCCAAAGCTAGGGGCAGTCCAAACCTAAGAATTATTTCCTGAAGAAGTTTCTAAGTAACCATTGCAGGGGTTTCTATTCAAGTAGGATAGGTTTCTACCAATCTCAAGAACATGTCTACAAACACTAGCAAGTATCTATAGACCCAAACAGTAGGCCCTATAAACATCTGGTAAAATCTGTTTACATGAAGGCCCCTGTTGTATTCCAGGAATTTGATGGCCTGGAGCAGCAATTCTTTTTTTCCCCCTTAGAACAATGGCCACTTCCTCCTTCATTTCCTGTGTGCAATTCTTTTCAGACTAGCCAATCAGATAAGACTGTGAGGTTGGACCCCAGCCAGTAGAGAAAAGACTCAATCTCTACTTGAGTTAGAATAAAAACCAAGTGTGCTTCCTGTCAGTGTGTTCGCTCTTTGGGGCGTGCCCTCTTGATCAAGAGCGAAGTCTGCTACTCCAGACACCTCTTTTGGAGAGGTGGTCTCTCTCTTTCTTTGACATCCTGAATTTATTTCTAAGATTAGGGAGGTGGGAGATGTGAGAGGAGTTGTGAAGGGGGATGAATGTAATTAAAGTACATTGTATGAAAATTCTCAATGAATTCATAAAGCATTATTAAAAACTTAAATCTTAAAACAAAAAGGAGAGCAAAATCGAATAAACCGATTCTTAAGTGTTGTCTAGCTCTAGTATTCTGGACAGAATGTGTCCAATTCCAAATTCCCCAAATTTCCTATGTTCTTTGTCTAGGTATACATGCTTTCCTGTGTTATAAAGGAGAGAGCTACATAATAAAATTTACAATTCTGACTCCCAATAAAGTCACAATAAAGCTTAGAAGGCTCTAGATGATAGGTGGATTCTGTTTCCAAGATGGACAAAGTAATGGGGTCCTAAGGATGGAGTGTCCTGCTTCTCATATTTTTTCTATTTGACTAGACTTCAGAGGGACCAAATTTTCTGTCTGGAACTTCAGACTGAGTTAGGCATGCCTTTAAAATATCTAGTTCAATCCCTGACCTTCCCCCTCCCCCAAATAGCAACTCACTCTATTCCATCTGTGAGAGACATCCTCCACTTGGGTGCCTGTGTTCCCTGCTGGATAATTTACATATGAAAGTAGAAGTTGATATGCAATCCCAAGGCTTCCAAAGCATCAAGAGTTCTTTTTCTAAATGTCAAAGAAAGAACTTTGACACTCTGGGTGTTTCTACCTTTGCAATCTGCAAAGGCAGCTGACTGCCTTCCAAAAACGGTCCTCACCAGGCTTGTAAACAAGGGCAGTTTTCAGATGCTCACAAAGCCAAAGACAAACAGGATCCTGGAAAATGGAAGGTGCTGAGATTGGGTAGAGGAGCACACATTTGAAGTTGGTTGCTGCAGTCCAGAGGACTAGGGGCCAGTTTCTTTCCTGGTTTTGTGAGTCTATAAATACTTCTGTGGCTTACCCACTTAGTTTTTCTCTCACAAACACCTCCTCGCACCAGCCCTTAACTTGTCCAGTCGGCAGAACACCTGGGAAAGCACAGGTTGCTGTGACGGCCTCACTGAAAAGTCTCTCATGTGAGTAGTATTTCGTTCAGCTTGGTCTCCTAGTCTGTTCCCTGGGGCACCAGGGAATCCCTTGCTCAGACTGCCAAATTGGAGGTTTACTACTGTCCCCTGGCTCTCTGTACCCTGTGTCAGCCCACAGCAAGCCTCTTCAGCTTCTCTCCAGGCAGTAAGGTAGGTGCTGACACTGCAGACCTTGAAGTCACAGAGACCCGGGTTCAAATTTTATCTCTGTTTACTTGTCTGTAACTTTGGGCAAGGTTTGCCAGCCCTGGGCATGCTCTCTTGCAAAAAACCAGTGTTAGAAGTTGGGGGTGACAAGGAAAGAGAACGGGGCTCACATTTTAGTGTCTGGACAAGGTAACCTTTACTCCTGGTCAAGAGGGTACTCTCAGGGACTAAACACACTGGGGCAGGAAGCAAGTTGGTTTTGCATCTAACTCAGGTGGAGACTGTGTCTTTAAACTGTGAGGTGAGACCTCAGCCAATGGGGTCTTACCTCACAGTTTAAAGATGAGCCGGTGTCAAAAACACCTGGGTGAAGGGAAGAAAGGAAATCAGGATGGGGTCAGCCACTTAATTTACCTATGCTCCCAAATGTAGCAGGGCCTTTGCATAAACAAAGACTTTCCTGGGTGGGAGGGTGTTAAAATATTTGCATACAAAGTGGAGGAGACAAAAAGCTTTGAATTTTTTACTGCAAACACAAGTTTTATAGTGTCTGAGAGAAAAGACTCATACTTAATGGTTTTTTTTTTTTACCAGGAAAATTCCCCTGCTAGGGGCTCGCAGTGCGGGTTTATCAGGGTCATCAGGTGACTGGGGACACAACCACCTCCAGCTCTGCTCAGATCTCCGCCAGGCCACCCAGTAGCATCCATGGGAATAAGCACCGTGTCTCGGTCACTAGGCACTCCTTTATTTCAATCCCCACACTTGTGGTTTGTTTACAATAAAAATTATAAGGAAAAGAGAAAGAAAGAAAGGCACACCAGAGCTGGTTACCCGGGCATTTCAGCACGGCCTGTTAAGACAGCGGCGGGATTCGGTGCTGCCTTCTGCCTTTTCAACAAAGAACTGCTCCACCCACCTTGGAAACCAAAAGCTAAAGACAGGAAATGGAAACCGAAAGTTAATGAAAACCAAGAGAATCAGGAAACTGAAACTGTTCTTTTTTTTTTTCTTCTTCTCTTTCTTCCAGAATTGAGCAAGACGGCCATCTGCTTACTAAGCCTGGACCTCAGCTTCCACCTCTGAAAATGTCCTTCTCAGCGCCCAGTACCTGGGAGAAGATGTTTCAAGAACTAATCCAGGAGGAGAAACCCAGGGCCAAGTGGACGTTCCAGTTGGATAAGAACATTTTACCCAACGTCATGGCCGTGGGATGGCGGCAGTACCAGCAGACAGGACTTGGCAGGTGAGTGGGGATTTGGCAGCTGGTCCTCCTGAAGACCCCACTGAGTTCAAAATAACTACTGGCAGCTTGCTGTCATAAAAGAAAGAACAAGTGTGGCTAGCTAGGTTCCCCAATCTTTTACAGTCATGGAGCTGGTTAGGGTCCCCTGGACTCCAAGCCTCTACCCTGTTTAGTATAGGAAGATTTTGTGTCCTGCCAGGTCTCCTTACAAAAATATTTCTGGAGTCCTTGAAGAATGCCTCCACATTCTTCCCAACACTTTCTTTCCTTCTCTCTTCTACTGGATCCCCAGCCAGAAAAGGCCTGGTTCTGGAGCTAGTTGCTTACGCCTCTTATCAAGAGAAAACATAATAAAATCCATACAATGGAAAAATGGATTTATCTACAATTTGGACACGGCTGTTTTTAACCTGTCTCTGCCTTCCGTGTAGCAGTGTTATAGTTTATAGAAAAGATGAGACAAAATCTGCATGAACATGTCACCAGAAATGTTGGGTTGCTCTACTATAGTTGCTTAATGACACCAGAAGAAGTAGGGTTCGTTCTTTGCATTCTTAATTTCTTCAGTAAGAGAATTTTAGAATGGACAGGACACTCAAATGAAAGTTTGAGGACAATTTTACTAGAGTTTCAAAGTAAAGCCACTGGGTAGGCAAGCTGTAAATCTCGGTGGCTGCCTGGCGGAGGAGAAACGAGAAGGGGCGGAAGGCTCTACCCTATGAGTTAAGTTGCCCTGGAGCTGTGTGGTGGTAGACAGCCACATGGCAGGGGTGGGACATACAGAGAACAAGTAAATAAGGCCAGTGTCACGGAAAGCATGCTTAGAGCAGAGGTGGGAAGGAAAAGCTATGTTTTCCTGAGTAATTTGGAAAAGTGGACAGACTTACACGGCCAGGCAACGAGAGGTGCTGAGTTGGGTTTTGTAAGCTACAGCCATAAGGAGCAGGAATTCTGGGAAGAAATGTACAATATCATTAAAAGGACATCCCATTTATCCCTGTAGCATGGCTTAAGGTGAACCTGTCTTCTTAGGGATGGTCGGTCAATTGGCCAGGTGCTTGGCTGGTCCAGCTGGAATGTTATCCACCCAGGCCAGAGATTCTCTTCTCTTGACAAAAAGGAGTTTGCCCTTAATGGGCCTTTATTGCTGTTCTAACACATAGATTTAGTTGTGGGATCTGTGAGAGTTGACCTTCTCAGGAGATACGAATTTTTTTACTCAGGGGCCAAAGCTTCTAGGGAAGGACTTCTCCACTCCTAGCATGGTATTTCCTGACGTGACCAGGAAGTGAAAAATGGGGGGGGGGGAATCAAATTTTAAGGGAGTCCCTAATAAGTTTTCTGTAATGCAATAGTACGTTTCTCTGCTGATGCAGTAAGCCAGATCAAGCCGAACTGAAAAGGTAAAAGAACAGGTTTATTTTGAGCAAAGCAAGCCTCCCCCAGTGAGTTCTCTAGCCCCAGAGATCATTCTGAAGAAGTCACATGCCCAAACTAAAGCAGGTAGCTTATATAGCCTGTAGGCAAGTGGTGATGACGTATCCATCACAACTGGGTTTGTGCACAAGTATGTGTGTTCAAAAGCTGAGCCCTTTAGGTGGGGACTTCAGCTGGTGGCCACTTCAGAGGAGGAGCTACTGCAGCCATCCAGAAGGTGGAACTGGGCTTTTTGGTGCCTTTTCTTTCTTGGAGATTTTCTGAGAGGCTGGGGTTTGGAGAGAGAGGAATGGGGCTTTGTGGATCAAGCAGAAGTGAGCTGGAGGTCCCAGCGAATAGCCTGACCTTTTTGGGTATATGGGTGCCAGTTCAAATCTGGCTACTTCCTGTTGGCATGGGACAACGTGGGGAGGGGGAGTCAGGAGTTAGTGGGCTTATGTTCAGTGGGAGGCATGGGTGAAGAGGCATTCAGTTAACCGCCACCCTGGAGACCTCAGGAATCCATTCCAGGAAGAGGCAGAGAAGTCAAGTTGCTAGGAGAAAAAAAAATAGATTATTACCACTGGTCCTATGAACAGGTCTAGCCATGGGAAGAGAGAAGACTGCCAGAAAGAATGGAATGGAGATGTGCGCTGGTTGTATTGACAAAACTCTTCAGAGAAACTTGTGGAGTGACTGGATATTAGTTTCCACCAGGCCAGATTCCATGATACAGTAGCAGAACTCTTTCCCCAGGAACATGCAGGTGCCTGTAAAACAGCTGCAACAGATTTACACCTTGGTGTCATAGCAAAGACTATGGCTTTGAATTAAAAGGCATGAACATTTTAAGGGAAAATATATATAGCTCAGGAGACAAAAGGGATAAAGGTGAATGAGAAATACACAAGAGCAGATAGGCTTGACCATCATGGCCCCTCAATGGACATTCTAGAAAACCAGAGGGTGCAGGGTCCCAGTTGCTGGACAGATCATACATCCTGGGTAGGTGACGACTTGAGCCCGGAGAGGTGGTAACAGCACTGATGTCCCAGGAACTTGGCAGTTGAAAGGGGTGGTGAGGAGCACAGTGTAGGGTCATGTCCACTGGGGCTCTAGAGACTTAGGAAATAACTGCTTGGGGGAGTACCCCATCCCCTGGGGAAAGTGGGGTGGGCTCAGGAGCAGTTGAGTCTGTTGGTATGGGGGCAGGGAGAAAGCTGTCAGCATGTGAACTGAGAAGGGACCATAGGAGGGAGAGGTAGGGTAGGTACCTGACCAATGGAGGGGTCTGGTCAAGAGGCAGTGGTTGAGGAGAAATGGCCTTCCATAAAGGAGCTCAAAAGGGCTTAGGCCTGTAGGAGAGCATGGGGTGGCCTGGAGGCAGGTCAGGGCACTGGGGAGAAGGGAGGGCCAAAACAATCTGAGTTCAATAGAGAGCTTGGTGAGCTGTTTGATGAGTGCATTGACCCTCTCAATCTTTCCCGAAGGATGTGATGTTTCCAGGAGATATTGAGGGCTTCAGACATAAGCTTGATGACCCTGGAAGTGAAAGCTGGGCCATTGCCCATTTTGATGGTCTGTGTCTTGCCAATCCCAGGGATGTGTGTTCAAGCAGTACCTGAGCCACCACATCTGGTGTTTCCCTGAAGGTGGAGAATGCTTCTATCCATCCTGTAAAGGTGTCAACAACAGTTAGGAGATAATGGAGTTTATTATGAGTGGGCATGTGGGTGAAGTCAACCTGCCAGTCCTCGCCCGGTTGGTGTCCTCAGAGCTGGTGCAAGGGCTGGCATATTTGGAGGGCCCCCTGCAGGTTGTCCTTGGCACGTGTCTGGCAGGAGGAGTTGACCTGTAAAATATGGCTTGAAGATAGATAAGATCTAAGAGGGGCTCTAAGAAGTGGAACAAAGCCTTGGGATCTATGTAAGATTTGGTGGATATCTAAAATGATCTAGAGTGTCTGATCCTGGGATGATGAGGTGGTTTTTTTAAGGAGAGCCATCTGTCTTTTGTCAGTGTGGCTCCTTTATTCAGGAGTTCATCCCTCTTCTCTAATTGATGACAGGGCTGATAGGAGGGTGTCAAAAACAAAATATATCCTGTAGATCCAGTGGGGCTAGAGGCCACTCCCGGGGTTTTTGGAGAACTAATGTCCCCAGCAGTGGATTATGGATACCTCTGCAGGGAGCTGGAGGGCCTCCAAGAGCTTGGCTATAAGGGGTCCATTGACAATGGGAGAACCCTTGGTAGTGAGGAAGCCCCTTTCCTTCCAAAGGACAGAATAGGTATAGGCTATTAAAGAGGCATATTTAGAGTTGGTGTAGATGTTAGCTATTTGGAGTGTTCTACTCAAGGAGATTAATTTAGCCTTTTGTGAAGAGATCTCCATTGGCAGATGAGTTGCTTCAACTGTTTCAGTAGAAGTTACCACCATATAAGCCACCTGGTGGTTTCCTAATTTGTCTATAAGAGAGCTTCCATCAACAAAGAGGCTGAGTTGGGGGGGTCTGTGAAGGGTTGGTCTAGGAGACCAGGCTGGGTGAGCAGAAGGCCTCCACAGCCTCGGGGCAAGAGTGGGAGGGAGTATCAGAGGAGGAAGGGACAGGGAGGAGGTTTTCAGGGTCCTGTGAGGCAATTAAGGAAAGAAGATGGGAGTCAGAAGAGAGTGTGGGAGCCAAGAAGAGGGTGTCCCCAAAGTACCGGAGGATATCATGGCCAAGAAATGGTACCCGACAAACAGGTATGACTAGAAAAGAGTGTGTGAAGAAGCATCCTGCAAGAATGCAGGGAAGTGCCTGGTGGTAGTGGTGCTCGCCTTTAATCCCAGCACTTGAGAGGCAGAGGCAGGCATATCTGTGAGTTCAAGGCCAGCCTGGTCTACAGAGCTAGTTCTAGGACAGCTAAGGCTGTTACACAGAGAAACCCTGTCTCAAAAAACAAAACAATACTACTACTAATAATATGCAGGGGTGGCAAGGTCTTAGGAGGAAAGGAGGGGGTCTCACACACCCCCAGGACAGAAATTGGTTGAGGGAATTGTGGAACCCAAGTGAGAGGTCAAGAAAGGTAGGCCCCATGTCCACCAGGAAGGTGATGGACTTACCCACTACCTGGAGCATTACCCTAGGCCTGGCAAGGGTGATGGGAGTCTCCGAGTCTAGATGCCATCAGTCCTCTGCCAGGCTGCGGAGCTCAAAGGCTGGAAGAGTCTCAGATGCCTGTGCTGGCAGGGCTGGACCTCCATGGTGTGGCATAGAGGACAAACCCACATGGGGGCATTCCAGCTTCCACTGGGCAGGCTGCTAGCAGACAGGGCATGGCTTTGTTGGCAGCTGAGGGTTGGGGCAGCAATGGGACCAATGACCTTCCTGGTTGAATTTGAAGCAGGCCCCTGGTGGAGTTGACTTTGGCTGGGCTCAGGCAGGATAGAGCCTTGTGGGCTTTCCCTGTTCCCTTTGCAGGCATGCTGATGGGCTCAGAGCAGCTGCTAAGGCATGAGCTTGGAGCATAGCCTTTTGTTGCAACTGAGCCTGTCAGGAAGACTCAGCTGTCTCCTCTCAGGTGTTAAAAACCTTAAATGCCATTTTCACCAATTCCTGTATGGGGATTTAAGGACCATCCTCAGCCTTTTAAAATTTCTTTCTAATATCTGGTGATTACTGAGAATTGAAGTGGGTATCCAGGACTGCGGCTCCTGCTGGGTAGGCTGGATCAAGGCAGGTAGAGCAGGTGGTTAGGAACCCAGATGGTAGGGTGGAAGAGCAGGCAGAAACAAATAGGGAGATAGGATTGGTTGTGGATGGAGTGGGTGGAGCAGGTGGGTAGGATCCCAGCATGGCCAGACCAAACACCAGGAGAGCCTAGTGAGTAAAAAAGGCAAAGTGGGTACGTTTCAAGGGTCTTACCAAGGTATGCCACTAAGAGACACAGCAGGAACAACAGAGTTAGTGCCAAGTTTATTGGGGAATTGAAAGAGTTAAAGAGCGAAAGGCCATCTCGGAGTGGAGATATGAGAGAGGCAGGTAGACAGACAGACAGAGCAGGGAAGAGACAAGAGGAAGAAGAGAGATGGGGGGTGCCAGTGACTCAGGCAGCCCAGTTGGGGTTCAGGGTCAGGGTCAGTCCCTGGGTGAAAAGGCCCCTTGGAGCCACCACAACCTTGGCCAACAAAACCTGGGCCACTGAGCATTGGCTACAGAGAGAGGCGTGAGTGCTGAGCACAAAATCCCTGGATGAGGGAGCTCAAACCATTTGTTTGGGGCATATGGTATGAGACAGCCCCAGTTTGGGTAAATGCTGCAGTAGACACCCCAGGAGTGACTCAGGATTGGGCTTAGACTCAATGTTGCCCATTTCCAAGCCTGTGCCAGAGACCAAAGACTAGGGCAAGGCATCACCTGAGATAGCCTGGGGTCAAGTGGTGGGGTTGGGGGTAGCCTTTGGGAAGGATGTCTCCTAAAGCAAAGCTCCCCAGAACAAAGACTTTCTTTGCTCCAAAAAATGGATTGGACTTGCGCTGGTGCAGTCACACCTTGGCAGGGGACCCTAGAGGTACTTGACCCAGGAGAGGTCTTGACCTGGAAGAGGTACCCAGTACTTCCGTAGGCAGTGGCTGGAAATGGGTGGACTTACCCCAAGGTGAGAGGTGAAAGCTGACCACATCTAGCAGAGAGAAAGATAAAGGGAGAGGAGTGTCCCCACCATGTGGCCAGGGGACCCAGTGCACCCTGCAGCTCCTCCCAGCTTTTTGGCACCAAGATAATCGGTTTTCTGTATCTCGATAATAGATTTCTCGGCTGACACAGTGAGCCAGATGAAGCCAAATTAAATAAATAAAAAATAAATAATAAATAAATAAATAAATAAATAAATAAATAAATAAATAAATAAGTAAATAAAAAAGAACAGGTATATTTGAGCATTCTCGCTGACATAGTAAGCCAGATGAAGCCAAATTAAATAAACAAACAAACAAACAAATAAACACATAAATAAACACATAAACAAACAAACAAACAAATAAATAAAAGAACAGGTATATTTGAGCAAAGCAACTCCTGGGTGAGTCTTCCAGTCCCAGAGATCGGGCCAGAGAAGTCATGCCCCTGAAATGAAGCAAGGAGCTTATATAGCATGTAGGCCAGAGGTGATGATGTGTCTGCTACAAGCTGGGTTTGTGCTCAAGTGTGGTCAAAAGCTGAGGGACTTGGGCTGCTGGCAACTTCAGAGGAGGAGCTGCTACAGCCACAAAGAATGTGGAACTGAGCTCTTTGGTGCCTTTTCTTTGTTGGAGTATCTCTGAGAGGGTGTGGTTTTGGGAGACAAGTGGGGCTTTCTGGATCAAGCAGGAGTGAGCAGGAGGTTCCAGCCAAACAGTCTCCTGTGCTAATCCTGACCATCCCCTATGGGCTGCAGCAAATCTCCTTGCCTGACCCCTGCTCGGTGCTAGTTCTTAAGAATCAACTACGATCAAGCAGCCATGTTGCATATCACTTTACAGAAAACCTGTGGATAAAGAGAGAAGGCTAAAACCCAGGTCAGAGAGTGTCTGAGGAATGAACCCTTCTTTACTGGCTGCCCTCCCTGTAGTCCCAAGCCAGCTCCAGGCTGTAGGAATCAGCTGTCCTTACCTTGTCAGGAGAGTAAGAATGGCTGGTCTGGGATGACAAACCCTCTGTCTCTAGAACCCCGGGGCCTTTTCTAGGGCCCCTAGAACCCTCAGCTCTATTTCCTCGTCGGTCCTGCGGCCTGCCCACCCTTGACCTACCTCAAGCATACTGTGTTCCACCCCATATGATCCCTCAGATATACATTTCCACGTTAATCTGTTTCTAAGATTAGTCACATTGCTCATCAGAGGTGATGCTCTGTCATAGGTAGATGAATAAGGTTGGTTTCAGTGGCCTAGGCTGAGAAAACAACCCTCTCTCACTTGCCCTGTATATCTCAAGCAATTCTTATATACATTTTCTTATTCACTTTTCTTACTGATAAGGGGCTCAATAATACCTGTGAGGAATGACCTACAGATAAAGGGAGGTAACACTGAAAGGCATCAGTGTTGTCTGTCTTAAAATAGGTGCTTTATAGGGGTTTTGTGTTGTCATAATGATGAAGAAAGGTTCACGCATGTAGTAACAATTCTCTTCCTTTTTATTATTTATTTATTTATTTATTGAGACAAGATTTCTTTGTGTAACAGCTCTGACAGTCCTGGAACTCATTTTGTAGATCAGGATGGCCTCAAATTTACAGAGATCCACCTGCTCTGCCTTCCAAGTGCTGGGATTAAAGACAGACACCATCACCACCTTGCAAATTCTCTTCCTTTTAAGACTTCCAGAGAATCTTTTATTATCAAATAGGAAGATTCAGTAGTAACAGGAAAGCATCTAAAACACAGTGACTTTGGTTCTTGCTTATTTGTGACCAGGTCACTCAACACCGTATGAAGGGGATTCCTAGAATCCCTTAGCTGACCATTTCCTCTCAGGTCAATGGTCAGCTAAAGACACAATGGGCTTCTTTGTTCTGCCTACAGGTTCCAGTGCTCCATATGTAACAGATGGTGGATTTCTGCTCAAGTGAAGATCCTGTGCCACATGTACCGGGAGCCAGGGAAATCTCAGGGCCGGGGTACTCATGAGGATCTTCGGTCAGAGGTGCCAGAAGTGTTCTAAGTCTCAATTTGAGAATCCTGAGTTCTTCACAGAGAGCATCGGAAGGATTATGGAGAACCTAATTAATTATATTCTGCAGAAATACTATGGTCATGGCTTTAAGAAGAAACCATCAACTTCAAATGAGAAACCTCTTGAGAAGGTGCTTTTGAATAGACCCCATGACACAGCCAATTGTGAGGCATGCACTCTGGGCTACCATGGAGGGTGTTCCTTTGCATATGAAGCAAATCTGCCCAAATACCCATCTTCCCAACCAAAGAGCCACAGTTCTTGCCTAAAAATGAGCCCCAGTTCTTCCCTAACAATGAGCCACAGTTCTTCCACACCAAAGAGCCACAGTTCTTCCACACCAAAGAGCCACAGTTCTCCCCCACCAAAGAGCCACAGTTCTTCCACACCAAAGAGCCACAGTTCTTCCCCACCAAAGAGCCACAGTTCTTCCACACCAAAGAGCCACAGTTCTTCCACACCAAAGAGCCACAGTTCTTCCCCACCAAAGAGCCACAGTTCTTCCACACCAAAGAGCCACAGTTCTTCCACACCAATGAGCCACAGTTCTTCCACACCAATGAGCTACAGTTCTTGCCTAAAAATGAGCCCCAGTTCTTCCCTAACAATGAGCCACAGTTCTCCCCCACCAAAGAGCCACAGTTCTTCCCCACCAAAGAGTCACAGTTCTCCCCCACCAAAGAGCCACAGTTCTTCCACACCAAAGAGCCACAGTTCTTTACCTCAGACTAGGAATATGTATGTTGAGAATAGGCATTTTGAGGAACACAGAGAGACCAGTTACACAGAGCTGTTAATGGTTTTCTCTCTTGCTGCACTTACCTTTATTCGCCGACTCTTTAAATAATAGGCTTATCATCTTGTTTTCATGCTATGGTTATCAATAATATGGGTGTCATTTTAACATGACAGTGAATTGATTTGAGATCAAGCAAGGCCAAGTATGTAGAGTAAACATGGTTTCCTGGACATGCTCTGAAATGACAAAAACATAATGGACCCCAAAACAAATCTGTATTAAATCGCTGAACACTCTCAATTTGCTTGCTCACTTACTTGTTATCAAGCTATATTCATTAAATCTTGACAAGAACTAATGGTCATGAGTATTGTAAATTTAGTGTGATAGACTGAATAATGCTCCCCCACCAAAAATGCCTTTATCCGCCCCTCTAGAACTGGTGACTGTGCTATAGTTTTTGGAAGAATGGATTTTGTAGACATATTTAATTAAAAGATCTTGAGGTAAATTGCCTTGCTTTCTTGGGATAAATAATAACAAAAAGGTCCTTTTCTATCTTTTTTAATCAAGGTCCACCAAAAGCTCACTGTTGAAGGCTTGATCTCTGAGTGATGGTGCCATGGGAGGTGACAAAATCTTTAGAACATGGTGCTGTACACTGTAAATATGTATTACTCTCATTGGTTAATAAAGAGCTGACTGGCAGGTAGCCAGGCAGGAAGTATAGGTGGGACAACCAAACTAAGGATGCTGGGATGAAGAAGGCGGAGCCTAAAGAGTTGCCAGCCAGATGCAAAATAGGATAGAGGTAAAAGCCATGAGCCTTGGGGTAGCACATAGATTAATATGTGAAGGAAGGGCTTGCCAAAAAGGGTAGAGATGAGCTTCTGGAAGCTCAAGCAGATATAGAAATGGGCCTTTCCTTGGAGCCTGCCACCATGTGACTTCAAGTTTTAATCATATTTATTTTTAGTGTTTGTGTACATACATCTCTCTCTCTCTCTCTCTCTCTCTCTCTCTCTCTCTCTCTCTCTCCTCTCCGTGTGTGTGTGTGTGTGTGTGTGTGTGTGTGTGTGTGTGTTTGTATGCATCATGCCACAGGGCACATGTAGAGGTTAGAGGAGAACTCTCTGGAGCCAGTTTTCTCTGTCCGTCACATGAGTTCTGGGAGTTCTGGAGACTGAACTCACGTCAGGCTTGGTTGCAGGCACTTTTACAAGCTGAGCCTTTTGCTGTTGCAACCATTAACATGATGTTAGCATAGTGAGGATGATGCTGGTTGTCCAGAACCATAAGGTGGTCCGCCAATCTGAGATTCCATGACATAACACTGCAACTTTCACCCACTTCCATCTGTCTGTTAGATGTTTCTGTGTGGATGCCACACTGCCTTTGCTGTATTACCAGGTTTAAGAACCAGTTCATCAGTATATCAGACCTTCCTGTCTAAGTCACTAAGCTTATCTGTAGCTGAAGTTATCCTGTTCCTGCCTGGCTCCCACGGCTCTCAGACCCAAGTAAACACACAGAGACATATATTATTTACAAACTGTATGGCCTAATGGCTCAGGCTTCTTGCTAGCTGTTCTTATATCTTAAATTAACCCATTTCTATTAATCTATAAGTTGCCACGTGGCTCATGGCTTACTGGTATCTTTCATCATGCTTCTCCTCACTGTGGCTGGCCGTGTCTCTCCCTGACTCCACCTTCCTGTTTCCTCAATTCTCCTCTCTGCTAGTCTTGCCAATACTTGGATTGCCTGGCTCCTGGGCAATCAGCATTTTATTTATCTATCAATCATAGCAATACATTCACAGCATAGAGAACATCCCACAGCACTTATCACCTTCAATTTATTTATTTGTTTATTCATTTATTTGTTTGGTTTTTTTTTTTTTTTTTTTTTTTGAGACAGGGTTTCTCTGTATAGTTTTGGTGCCTGTCCTGGATCTCACTCTGTAGACCAGGCTGGCCTCGAACTCACAGAGATCCACCTGCCTCTGCCTCCCAAGTGCTTCTGGTAGTTTCTTAGTAATCATTATGTTACTTGGAATATAGATGATACATTGCCCTGATTCTTCCTACTCCTTCACACAATATCTTTTTTTTTTTTTTCAGAGCTGAGGACCGAACCCAGGGCCTTGCGCTTGCTAGGCAAGCACTCTACCACTGAGCTAAATCCCCAATCCCACGTTATTCTTTTGTGTTCATATTTGCATACACATTTCCATTTTATATAAGGATATTGGCTGTCCTGGTTAAATTTTTTTTTTTTAAGCTTGACACAAGCGGGGGTCATCTGGGAAGAGGATAGTCAAATGAGAAAATGCCTCCATCAGATTGCCCATAGGTGCATAGGTGCCCATAGGTGTGGTGCATTTTCTTGATCAGTAATTAATGAGGGTGGTCCATCCCACTGTGGGTAGTGCCACCCCTTGGCAGGTGGTCCTGGGTTATATAAGAAAGCAGGCTGAGCAAGCCATGGGGAGTGTGTTAGCAACAGTGTTCCTCCATGACCTCTGCTTCACTTCCTGCCTCCAGGTTCCTGGTTGAGTTTCTGCCTTGACTTCCTTCATGATGAACTATAAACTGTAAGCTGAAATAAACTCTTGCCTCCATAAATTACTTTGGGGCACAGAGTTTTATCACAGCAATTGAAAACAAACTAAGGTAGTCATGTTTGGTGAGGAGCTCACCTACTCCCGGAGGATGGATCTCATTGGTAGACAGTGAACGAACTCCTCAGTGAATGTATATTGTTGGCATGGGCATGTCAAAGACCCAATGCCTTAGCTGCATGGGACTGGCAAGCTTTCTCCAGGCAAGGCCCTGAGGGCTGGCAAAGGCTTCATCTGTTCCGAGTGTGAATGTTGACAGTGTGTGCAGAAAATACTTGCCACAGTTTCTTCCCCAGGCATGTAATTCAATATGTACCTATTGGAGGCGGAGGGGCACACCCAAATTCCTAGCATATGAGAGCCTGAGTTTATCAGTCTATTGATACCTAGACCCTTGGAGAGTTGTGCTAGTCAAAGCCTTCCAAGCAAGAAATGCAGACCAATGTCCAGACTATCGGCTGATTTCAGCTAAGATCTAATCACGACTTTCTCTCAGGTAGTGATGTACCTAGTTTGCCACCAACTGTCTGGTTTGTATACTCAGGGGACAGTATTATGTTGAGGGCTCATATGTTCGCGGCAAATTGAGAAGTCAGCAGTAATATGTATATCAATTTTATTTAGTAGAAATTTGTACAATGGGGCCAATTCATAGCCTCCAACCCCACTTTTATGACTTGTCCACTCATGTATCCAAAGTACCAGCACTGAATTGACCAATGGCAGAGACTCCTAATGTCAATCACTCTTATACTCAGATGGTTTAGAATCCTTTCTCTAGCGGTACTTTCTGGTAGACATTAACATAACACATGAGTTTGTTGTTGTTGGTTTGTTTTTTACATTTTGTGCCCATCTTAAAAATCCATTCACACTTCTCTTCCTCTGATCTCACTGTCTCTATACTTCCTATCTGTTACACTTTAAAGTTTTAAGTGCTTTCAAAAAGACTTATGTGTTAAAAGCTTGGTTCTCAGCTGGTGGATCAATTCATTGTGAGGTGATTGAATTCAGATGTCCAAGCGAAAAGTAGTATTGCCAGAGGCAAGGCTTTGGATTTTATCCGATTGGAGCAATGAGGGAATGAAGAAAGGACAGACACACAGACACATGTACAGGAAGTCTAGGATTGGGTAGGCAGCTGGGACACTTCATCTGTTTATTTTATACCACTAAATGAGGAGGCAGATTTATTTTAATATGAATTGTAGAACACTGTATCTTCCTTCCTTCCTTCTATCCTTCCTCCCCTTCTTCCTTCCTTCCTTCCTTTCTGTTCTTGCTCCTCCTCCTCTCTCTCTATACATCCCTGGCCATCATGGAACTCCCTATGTGGACTGGGAAGGACTCAATTTGTAGAGATCCACCTGCCTCTGCCTCCTGAGTACTGGGATTAAAGGCATGCATGATCATGCAAGGCAAAATTACATTTCTTAAGCTATGTACATGTGTGACTATGATAAAAAAAAAAGATAGTCCATTTGGTGTTTTCAGATGCCCCTCATGGCATCATCCCTGTCTATTCAATTTTTGCATCCTGTGCTTCTCCCCCTTCTCTTCTCAAATTTCCTTGTCTTTCTTGCTCTCTTGCTCTTCTTTAGCTGTTTTAGATGTGATTACTCTGGTGGGATTCAAAGACAGAGGATGTTCTAGTTGCTCAACAACGTAACAACTCTAGCACTACTTACACTGTAAAGATCCATGACCATTAGCCCAGGGTGATTATTGTGATGGTTAATTTTGATCACAAACTTGATTGGATTAAAAAAACCAAACAGCCAGGGCATCAATGAGGCACACTCTTATTGCATCTGTCATAGTGTTAAATACGAATGAGGGACTCATTGGGAAGATGAGCAGCAGCATCTGTGGACTTGGACCTGGGACCAAGTTAAAGGGAAACTTGGAGAAAGCCAGTTGATCACTTACATTCTCCTCTCTGCTTCCTAGTTAGTAGCATGGAGTAAGTCCTTCTCACTACCATGTTTTTCATGAAGGACTCCATTCCTCTGAATTGTAAACCAATATGAACCTCTCTCAAACTGGGTTGCTTCCGGTGGGTGTTTGATCACAGTATGAGAAAATAAACAAAGGTAGCAATCATGGCAGGCATGCTTGCACTCTACCATAGGCATCGAGTGTTCCACTGGCTGTGCGGAGTTTTGAATCCACAACACAACTGATAAAAATACGTCTTTTTTCATTACCGCCGTATGCCACCAACTCTCAATAACTTCAGTCAGTTCTAGCGTGCAGGACCCAGGATACGGCCAGCAGCCTAGGGAGTGTCACTCTATTTCCACACTGGAGGATTGACCTGATTCCTCCAATAATGGATTAGCACAGTACTAGGAGAAATTCCAGTGGTATGCCCTGTGCCAGCAGTGACCATTATTAGTCAGGCCAGGCAGCCATGCTAGGGTCTGAAACAGAAGCCCATTTTACTTGGTGAATATTGTTAAGTACTGAGCTGATTCTCAAGTGAACAGACATTTGACCTGAGCAGGCTTAGCAAAGGCTGCTGTTAAAAGATCAGAAGACTTCTGCAATGGAAAAGCCTTTCCCTGTGTGGGTCAGTAATTGTAGCCCCAGGCTAAAAGCTACAGATTTCAAAGATGTTAATGCAGTCCCTGGCCTCTCCTCAGCCACCTTTCATGTTCTTCTGGCCCCAAACACCCTCCACATGTTCACTCTGGTGAACAAGGCATGAGACCCCAAACATCCTTAGGCCAAACATCAGAAGGAGAGAGATGCCTCTGGAGACACAGAAGGACAGAGCCATCTGATGTCACTCAAAAATGATTTTCCAGTGAAATCCTGATGCATGCCCTTTAGCAGAGTG